GAAGCCTTTGACTTAACAAGCAGCTTCCGTATTTGCTAAATGTATCAGTTAATACTGAGTTTATTATTTGAGTGAATAAAAGTGTGTACTTTAATTTATTATCTCGGTGCGTACTCGCTAGCAGTCAGTCGCTAGCAATCTTCAGCAGAACCAATCTAAAATTTGTATCCGCATCAACACCAACGCATAAATTTGGGATTTAAGCCGCTTATGGCTTTCAAATTTGCACAAATGCCAAATTAGAATAAATTTTTGTTACTTTTGCAAAACATTACGTATCCTTGCGTGAGCGGGAGCGGGAGCGGCAGTGTATGTGTGTGCGTATGCGTTTGATTTGTATTGATTTGTGGGCGTTTATTATAAACCAAAAAAAAATTATATTGAAAGCAAAATACCAGAAAAACAGAAAAATAGAAAAATAAAATGATATCAACAAAAAAAGAAAAAAAAACAAATATTTTTTGAACATTTTAATAAGTAACAGAAACGTACTGAGTCAGCCTATAGTGACGTCGTCGGCACAAACGATGGCAAAATCATAATTTCGAACAATATTAATACTAATACTGCTCTGATACAAATACTACAAACACTAATGAAATAACCAGCACCAATACAAACACAAATGTAAACAGAACATACTTAAGTCACAGCAGCAACTCGACGTATTAAAAGTTTAAAATTCTGTCATCATCAGTTAATGTCGCCTTCAAATTGATATTTAAGTTTATTTTTCTACTTGTCATAATAAATTCGATTTTCGTTTCTGCTTTCATTAAGTGGAGCAGTTTACAGAATTTCTTGTCTATGTGACGGTGGTAAGTTAGGAATGGTAAATGGTGAATGTTGAATGTTGAGTGGTAAGAGGTGAATGTGTTGTGTTTATGTCTACAGTGCTTGCGATTGTTTATTATCCCTTTTGTGCGTTCTTGTGGGTGTCCTTCGGTTTAAGCGTTTGTTTGTTAAAAGCTTAAATGTTTGCGCAAGTGTGCCGCATTATGTACGCGCTTCATTGTATTGGTGAGTGTTTACTGTGTACTTGGGTAAATGTTTAGAAATTTCATTCAAAAATATTTTAACTAAATACCACATCAATGATAACAATAAAAATAACAAGCACAACAGCAGCAACAACAACAACAATACTAACTGTTGTTAAGATGCGTAATTTGAACAAAATTTGTATGGAGAATTAAAATTGATTTTCCAGAACATTTTTTGCTCAACGTACAAACAATTATGTTAGTAAAAGTAAAGAAAATATTAATTTAGTAAACACAATATAACAAATAAAATGAATTATAAATAAATTCGACCCTCACTTCTATATGGATGTGTAGGGTTTAGCAAGGCCTCAAACACTACTATGCGCCAGCTCGAAATTGCACAAAGCCAGGCGCTGAAAAAACTTTAAGGTACCATGGTACATTATGACGAATGACATCCTCAGAGACCTCAAGCTTGATCCGATCAAAAAATAGATAAAGGATAGAGCTCTGTAATTATTAACGAAAAGTGACAGACTTACCAACACCGCATTATCGGATCTCAGAATGGTTACAGGTTCCTCGGGAAGCTATGCAGATCTGAGGTAAATTATTGCTTAGTCTGCTGAATTAATAAACAATAATCCAGTCAAGAAACCTTGCAGTTAATAGAGAGTAAAAGTGCTTAAATACATTGATTCAACTTGCCTCAACATAATAATAAATAAAAAAAAAGATAAGGTTTGATTGAAAATGTAATCTTGTACTCACATGAGCTAGAGTAATTGTTCGTTATGTTAACATGGTAGAGATCATCGTACGAACAACGAGAGTGAAATAATCTGATACGTCTATATAAGCCTGAGTGATTCCAGCTACTGACTAAGTCCCTGATTTTGTAGGATGACAGCACTGTCAAGTCAAAAAGAAAAAAGGCCCCAAAGATGTAAAAGATAAATCTTTTGCTATCCAATAATGAACACTGATTCATGTGGTGGACTACAAATTTCTTCTCATCCTCAGCCACAACCACAATAAAATATCATAATAGGGTAGACACAGTTTCATAACATGTTTTCCTAGTTAGTAGCGGTCTGGCAGCACCGATTCCAATTTAACTATTGCACATATATATATCATAGTATTCATAATTTTATGAATTTTCCTTTGATTGTATCTCCAGAGTAGAAGAAAACAACTCGTAACTTACGAAAGAAAATATGTGAAGCGACAATAATGTTCTTAAAATCTTCAGAGTTAGATTTTACTCGCAAAAGTTTTTACAATTTAAGTTTCAGTGCAGCCAAATTAAAAAATCAGTATAATGTGAATATTCACTGGAATTATGTTGCAATACTCCAGACATCTATTAAAATCATATAAGCAAAAATAATAACAATTTGCAATAAATCAAAATAATAAGATAAAAGAAAGAAAAAATTACGGCTAATATAAATTTCTGTAAAATTTATTCACCATTTTTGGTAGCAACCCTGAAATACGAATCAGCACCATGAAACTCTTTATCGTTGTCCCTATAGCTTATTTTCAAAAGTTGCAGAAATCAAATCGTTCAGTTGTGCCAAATGTTATTCGTTTTATATCTCGAAAACCAAGAAATATAGGCTTACATTTATTGCGTAATGGAAAAAGTTGCTTTGAATTATGAAATTTGTCAAAATCGTTGGTCAAATCGCGACTTAATAGAAATCATTAATGTACTATTCAATAACATAAAACAAATTATATACGAATATAGTTCGTATATATAATTTCTAATTAAGAAATTCGAATATTTCCTGATGATGACAACTGATGATGAGTACTTGACAATACTCGAAACAGTGTTGCCAAATTTCAATAAATTAAATATAATTTTTGTTCTTGTCTTTGCTTTGTTATTCGATATCGTTCAATTTTTAAATAGTTTTTTTTTTTCGTTATAATATGCGTCACTCTCGGCAAGAAAAAATTAAGATTATTAATAATTTTAATTAATTTTTTTTTGTTTTATGGAAGCAAAGAATATTAATTTTCTTTTGCAGAATCCCATTAAACACTTTTCTAATCATTTTTGTGTGGTATAAGAAAATGGAATAAAAAAAATTGAAGGCTATAAGTGAATATAAGTGCTATTTTACATTCACATTTACATTTGCACTTCTATTTGCACATGAACTTGTGCTTGTGTGAGTGTAACGTTCCGTTTTTCGTTTGCATGCAAAATTAATGCTTAGTCATGTTTGGTAATTAAATTTCAATTAAAAATTCATTGCTTATAAAAAGCATTATTATTGTTGTTGTTTTATGCTGACTTCGCTTCGCTTATAAATACCCCAATACCTCCAATACATATACAAAGAATACTATTGGCGTTCTTCTTGTTATTGTAATTCAAATATGAGTACAGTTCAATTAGATTCATTTGTTGTTTTTGCTACTGTAATCATTATTATTATTATTGTTATTGTGTTGTTGTTGTTGTTTTGTTGTTTTGTGTTTGTTATAGATATTGATATAAATGTTGTAGTTGTGTTTGGCTATTGATGCCGCCGCCATCGCCACCTAATGACACAGTTTGTCGCAATTGTAAGTAAGGTAAGTAAATATTTGTTTTATGTGTCGGAAGACATTGGCATTGGGTGTAAATTTCTGAGCTTGCTTAATAGCCATTAAGCATAGCATGAATACAATTAACCCACGGGTCGGGCAAACATAATTACGACCACTGCTGGCCCAAATGATTGTTCCAAAATCAGTGGGCACAAATTGTTTATAATATTTTGGCTTTCAAACAAAAACAAAACGACAACAAAAAACTAATGGACATTTTCAAAATAAATGGGAATTAATTAGCAAATGTAAAGTTTTTATACAAAATTTTAATGAACAAAGTTCCAAACAAACAAAAATTCGTGGAAGAAATTAATTAAAAATTTTGATTAATAGTTTTAAAATTAAATACTATAATTTATTTTTATAATTAGATTAGTTGTATTATTGCGGGATTATTGATCGGACACTGTAGATTGAATAATCACCTATCGAAGTTAGGAATTCAATCCAACTCAGACTGCAGATGCTGTAAAGAAGAGTGAGAAAATGCATACCAAGTGCTTGGGGCACTGATGCACAAGCGAAAGAAACACCTAGGAGGGTATTTTATGGATGATAAGGATCCAAGACCAGGAAAGATAGGCTGTATGCTGTCTTTCATTAAAGAAATCAGACTTGGAGAAACACACTAATCCGACTAAGGGGCACAATAGATCTTCTAGGTCGCAGTGCACGATCCCTGTATAACTATATATTTTTATATAACTATAGACTATTGGTGGTTTTATTGTAGGGAACATTGAATAATGTTACGCAAATTGATTTCTTCTAAGCTCAAAAAACAAGGAAGGTGTAACGGAAATAATGAAGATTGTGATGAAAAAGAAGAGGTGGCTCAGGAATGGGTGCCAACTTTTCGAGTGATAAAAAATTGAAATCGGGTTCAGAGTATATAGTACCAATCTTAAGAGTGCTAATTTTTTCTCAGTGTAGAGATCACCAATAATCTTTTTAAAAACGAAGTTCATTAGAAAAGGTCATACTGATCAATCAACTGAACTTATGGTCATCTCAACATTTTTTGCGCTCAAACTTTATTCTAGTTTTATGCAAATAATACTTACCACCATTTTTTTTTCTCGGGAATAGTTATTATTTCTACAATTTTTTTTCTAAGTTAAAGAACTTAGTTGTTGAAGTATTAAAATTTTGATGACAATGCGTGACTTCTTCAGAATACCGAAGAAACAATTGTTTTAATCTGTTAAAAAAAATGCTTAAAAATTAAAAGTCTGCAAAAACATAGCAAAATGTTAGATGATATCATATGTAAAACGGAAATGAGTTGTCAAACTCACAAGAAATAGTTTTTATTAAATTCAGAAAATGCAACACTGCATTTTTGATTATTTGAAAATTAATGTCAAAAGAAATTCTATTTTTTCATTTGCAGTTGCCTATACTGATTGGTTTAGTAAAAGCTTTTCGTGCGAGTTCGTTTTTCTAATTTATTTCCCATTAAACTATTAATTCAATACTTAATAAATAAATATTATTTTTAAAATTTCAGATTGAGGAACTCTTTTCGTTTTCATTTTAAACAATTTTACTTTATATAGATAGATAAAGTTTTCTAAAAGTGGTTTTGATTATCGCAAGAATAATGGATTCAATGCCCTTCGACTTCGGAATAGTGGATTCTACGCTATTGGACCCCCCTGATGTATTTGAAAAAGTGTCTACTTCGGGTAAGTAGAGAAGTGTCCTTTAGAAGTGTCAACTTTAATTTTTTGCACAACATTTTATACATTAATAACTCTTAATATTTATATTCAAATAGATTGCAAACCTTTTATTTTTGAGGAAGATGTTGTACGTCAAAAATGGAAAGACTTGACTAAAATAGAAGATCATGTAGTACGTGCGTTAGATAATTTAGGTAAACTAAAACTTAAATTGTAAAAATAAATTAAGTATATTAATTAATCATTTTTAAGGAGATGTATTCCATTTGATTATCGATGAAAGTGGCAATCCAACTAATGTTAGAAGGTCTACAGAGAAGTCCTTGAATAGCATTATGAAGGCAGGGAAAAACATAGAAAACTTTTGTAGAGATATGCCTGAAGAATTGGATGATTTCAGCACGAATTCTCATAAAAGACTTTCTACTTTGAGATTAAAGTTTCTAACAAGAGAAAATATGATGCTGCAAGTGGAATTTGATAAGTCGATAAAATTGTCAGAGAAGCATAAGCAAGAAAATCTCGAATTACTTGAAAGGAAATCCGGTACTGGCTTGGGTAGTAAACATAAAAGTAAAAACGATTTTAACGGAGTTATTGATGCAGCATTTCCATAGATAAATTTCTCAGAAAACAAAAAAATACATATAAATGTATATTCATTATTCAAAATAATAAAAGATTTATTATATTTGAATTTTTTAAACAAAACCTTTTTTTTATTATCTTATCAACAACTTGTATTGTATATCCAAGGATTGAGTATTACTCAATAAGTATCAACGTATGCATATTACCTTTGATTAGAGCACTTAATGCTTTTTAGTATGAGTTATACGAATTACGAAATACGAATATATGTTTCTTGAAACAAAAAATTTTCCCTTAAAAGCTCCAAATTCAATCCATTCTGCTATAGATCAGGATGCCTAACAAAGAACAGGTTGGATAATTGAACTGAACAAATTACTTAAATAATAATTACTTAAATAATTATAAGCACAAAATTTGAACAACTCATCATTTCTGACGTATATATTTTATATTGATTAATAATTATTGATAGCCCGATATCTGAAATAAACTAGAATCTATAGTCACATTGCACCAATGTCTTTTCACTTGATGAACATTAATTGTGGTGACAACGTATGTATTACATATGGGTTTGATCACCCTGTAACATATAAATTATGTTTTCAGTTTAAACAAAGTAACCTGATATTAATTTATAAAGTAAAATATTGATATAAAATTTTTATTTTAGTTAATATTTTTTATTTTGTTTATAAATGCTTTGATAAATCCGTTTCGAGAGTTACAAAATTTAACAGCTTTTAGGACTGACTAAAATTTAAGTAATCTTGAACCATTTTTACCAAATTTTGAATTGAGCAATTTGATAGAATGTGGGGTTCGAGTGACATTTATAAAAAAGAGAAGCTACTGTTAAAGCCACATCGCCAAGCCTTTCCTATGCATATGGAACTATCTGGTGAAGCCGGGCGTTTGAGAATTATTCCTGCAAGTCGGCCGATCTTTACAGAGGAACGCTTAACAGAAATTATTAAACTAACCCAACCTAAAAAGTACTTTTTTAGTGCGTTGAAAGGTAACAACTTCGTTTCCATAGCACAAGAGGCAATAAATAATAATAAACAATTTTCGTAGAGTTGGCTATTTTAACATTACAGGTGTTTATCGTAGAGCCAATCACAAAGGTATTTAAGAGCATATATCGGCCAATAGAATTTATTTGGATGGTAATGGAAAGAGTGGAGCAACGCGTAGAGACCATCGAACGCCTTGAGCGCGAAGCTGAAGAATATTACAACCAAATACACGTAAGTTTGGTTATTAATTATTTTATTCTTTGATTGAGACTTTTTAAAAACAATTTTTTTCGATTTAAGTTACTCACCCAATAATAAAAAGAAACCTCTCCATTATGCATATATACCTTAGTTATATATGCTTAAACCCAAGTTTACACTAAACACAGAATTTCACAGAAATGCATGGGACTTTCTGAAACTCTTCTGTATTCCATATTGAAGAATGACAAGTAAGTTGATAATAAAGCATTAAAATTAAAGAATTAATATAAATATGGATAAAAATAACTATTATATATTTGATTAAAAGAGCTTATATACCATGAAATCGTTTCAGATATAGAACGCCATAAATGCTCTTTTAGTTGAACATCAAAGTGAATTGCTGGATATTATTGTAAAAATCGATATTAATGGATATTATTATATGGATAGTAGGTATATTCGTGGCATTAGTAGAATTGAATTATAATTTTCCATTGCAGGGCTTCTAAAATATAAATAATTGGAGATTAGTTACTACACATTTAAATAAATTATTTGTTTTGTGAAGATGATGCATTTGAACTTTGACGGACGTTTCTTTGATGGGTTAAATTAGATATAGTAAAGTCTCTATTTTCTCCGGTCGAATATATTTCGGATTTGTTGCGATATTCTTTAAATGTGACAAACTAAAAATGGAAAACTACTTACTTCTTGCGGGCGAACATAATTTGGATTTGATGAACATTTTTTTAATTAAATAAATTACAAACGGAAAACTATTTACTTAATGCAATCGAATATATTCCAGATTTGATGTAAATTTCTTTTATTGGAACAAATTAGCAGCAGAAAATTCTTGACTTTTTAATACCAATACATTTTGATGAATATTTTTTAAATTGGATATATTGAAAAAGGAAAATTATTTACTTCTTGCACTCAAATATATAATGGATATAATATGTATTTTTCTTTTATTGAGACAAATTGGAAATGAAAAACTTTGCTAGTCACATTCATACTTTTTTCGGATTTTTAACAAAATATTTTTAGATAATGCTGAACGAAACATTTATATTTATATATATAATAATTTTAGTCATGTAAGTTTTCATATAAATTTAAATTTTTACTGGAACTCATTAAAGAAAAATTAACTATATTAAATAAATAAAAAAAAACTATACTGGAAAATATAAAGTTTTGATTTTAATACTAAAAGCATAAGAAAAAATTATAATTATTTAATGAAAAACATATTGCAATGATTAAAATCATCGAAACCTTGAAAAATTCTGTAGAAACTCTCAAATAAATATTGAAACTTAATTTATGGATCTCATAGATCTCTAAAAAAAACTAAACGAACCAACGTTAGCATCTAAAGTTACAGTTCTTGCTTTATATGATATACAAAAATATGACATCCAAAATCCTTTTGTCTTCAATAATTAATGCACCTCATACAGTAGACTTTTGAGAAGCTCACATAGGCTTTGCTATTAAAACTAATATTCATAATATAATAATATATATAATAAGAGCTTGAAAAAATAACTGCAGTAATACTCAAGTAACCACCAAATTAAGTTTATGGTAATTAGTCTTAATAGTATTTTCTGACTCGGATACTATCTGAAACTGTGGAAACTGTTGTTGACAAAAATGATTCGAAGGCCGAAAAATGATTTTATTGTCGATACCTATAGAGTCAAATTATTCTTCTTGTCTTTAATTTCAAGTAGCATTCCAAATGATCCATTTATTATTATTATTGTTGATATATTCAAAAATATAAATTCAAGAACTTATTCTAATCACAAAAGATTTCCAACTATTCCTATCCTGCACCATAGCCTTTCGTTCACTGAAAGACTTGCTCGATTCTCTGTTCATTGTCCTTCTCCATGTAGTCTTTGGTCG